AAGAAATAGTTCAATACTAGATTTCTTTGTGAAAACCTAGGACTGATTGGACTCTGCCTAGGAGTTTGGGCCGTAAAGGCTGCTTTCCTGTCAGACTTTCCTATCTGCCACGTGTCATGTCCTGATAGGTCCAGTTTGGACCTCTTACGAGGTGACACGTGACGGATTTCAATTGGTCCACGTGACAGGTTCCTATTGGTTCACGTGGAAGGTTCTTATTGGTCCACGTGGAAGGCTCCTATAGGCCCATGTGGAAGACATGTAGCGCATCAGGACTGGTCCACGTGGATGGGGAAAAATCCCCTAAACAGTTAGTGTGACGTTGTAGCTAGTTCTACAATATAATGGTGATTTTCAATTAGTATGTATGTTACAATTGCAAACTAGCTTCGTTATGTTTTTTTAATTTATTGTATCTTGCTAACAATAAATAATGCTAAATTAAATATTTATCTAGAGGAATTTTTCCATGAAGTATTAGCTGCAAAACCAATAGATAGATCTTCAATTCGTTCAAAAAAAAAAAAAGATAGATTTACAATGATAACAATAAATTTTGAAGCCACCCACTATAACTGTTAATTATCATCGTTAATTTATAATCTTGAATTTACTCCTATGATTTAATTGCATTAGACATCTATATTGAATAAGTACTCCATTTTAGCCACCAAAATCCCGAACCTTAACCCCTTTCGCTCTAGGTTATAGCTTTGTTAGTAAATTACCGGTGACTTGTGATCCAAAGTAAAGCTTTACTGTTAGTAAATCAATGAGGTTTCTCCGATATATTATCTTGTTTACAAATAAGCAATTGAACATAAAAGACTTGACTACGTACATCGGAGAAGTTGAACAACTTAACCCAAGTGTGGATAAGGTGGGATAGCCTTTTGCTTAACGACTTCATCCCTTCAATCAAAAAGTATAGCCTAGTATTCGAATGAGCTATATGTAGTAATATTAGTCGTGTGGCAATTCATATAGGTTTGTGTTTCTGAATTGGTATAAAGGATGGTACCAGGCCAAGCTCAATAACATTTACATTCTCTAAACCATTTTAGCCAAGAGCTTGAATTGGTGCATTAATCCAATATATCATATCGCTAATAAATAAAGTCGGACTCGCGGCCAGGCCACGAGACAGAGACACTTGGCATTCCTGTTATTCGCCAAGTGTCGCGCCACGTAGGAGATAAATAGGTATTATTATGACATACATGATGCTAAGTAAGAGATTTTTGGATAGATTTTTTAAGATAAAACTGTTGTGTAGAGTTTTATTGTCGATAAACTTCTAATATTTAATATATACAAAATTAATCCTAAATTTTAATAAATATTTTCGGTTCTATTTCTATCATCAAATTCGTTTTAAAAAGTTCTTCAAAATAAGATCCATTTATAATATATTAATTTATTTTAAAAATAATAGTGAATATTGGTAAAAATACTTCCATTTCTGTAAAAGTAATTTAAGTTCAAAAAAAAATAATTTCAAGTTAATAACAACATAAATATAATTTATTTATTCAAAAAAATAGAGAATACGTAAAAATAAGTCCTAATCAGTAAAAATAATTTTACTTTGCTAAAAATGCTTTCAGTTTAGTAAATAATTTAAGTTCAATAAAAATAATTCAAGTCAATAATAACATCGATATCTATTTATAAAAAAAATCACAAAAAGTAAACTACTATATAAATTATCAAAAGGGATTATATGATCGTATTTAACATTCACGCCAAAATTTTATCCTAAATCTTATTTACCAAATGGGCATCACCCAGGCACAAAAGCCGGTCTTGCATCCAGGCCACGAGACAGCGACACTTGGCATTCTAGTTTTTCATCAAGTGTCGCGCCACGTAGGCGACAAATAAATATTGTTGTGACACATATGATACTAAGTAAGCGAATTTTGGATAGATTTTCTAAGATAAAAATGTTGTATAGTGTTTTATTATTGATTTACTTCTAATATTTCATATATACAAAATTAATCATAACTTTTAATAAATATCGAATAACTCGGCTCTAATTCGATCATAAAATTTGTTTTAAAAAATTCTGTAAAATAAAATCCATTTATTATACGAGTATATTAAGTTAATATAAAAAATAATAGAGAATTAGTAAAAATAAGTTTTAATAATCAAAAATATTTTAATTTGGCAAAAATACTTTTAGTTCAATTAAAATAATTTAAGTTCAATAAAAATGCTTTCAAGTCAAAAATAACATAGATATCTACTTTACAAACAAAATTACAAAAAGTACACTATCATATAAATAAGCGATATGATATCATACGTCTAAATATCCTGCAAAATTAAAAGGGATTGTATAACCACATTTAACATTCAAGCCAAAAAGTTTATTTAAAGATTTAATCAACAATCTGGACATCGCCTACGCACAAAACTAATATATATATATATATATATATATATATATATATATATATATATATATATATATATATATATATATATATATATATATATATATATATATATATATATATATATATATATATATATACCTCCTGGAAAAAAAAAATTAAAAAAAATTGATATATAATATACCCAATAATCTAATATACAATACGTAGTAATATATATATTTATTATACTGTAGGATTTTTTAGTTTTTGTGTAGACTTTAATCCTACTCGAAATTGATATAATTTCCATAAAATTAAATCCATATTTGCCAATTATCAAAAAAGTCCCAAAAATAAAATTAAAAAAAATCTGCTGCTAACTTTTTTTTATTTGAAACCAAATCTGCTACTAACTTTTTTTTATTTGAAACCAAATCTGCTACTAACTTTTAATAATCTATAAATAAACAAAAACTATCTTGATTCTAACGTACATAATTCTGCCTCCAACGACACAAATCGCCTTCTAATACTCAACACGGGTGGTAGAAGGGGGAGGATTCGATGCATGGATTTAGATTCGTTTTGGTCTCCTAAGTTTTCTTTTCCGCTAACTAATAGAACTACTTATCATACGGTCGGGTCGTGTAATGGACTTGTTCTCATCAAAGTTATTTTTGTTGGATATCCCGGATTAGGATACAACGCTTTAATTAAATTGATGTTGTCCAACCATTGCACGGGTGAATTACTTTATATCCCGGGTATTTTTCGCGAAGAAATCCAGTCTTTTGAGTTTGGGTTCGGGTTTGGGTATGATTCTTCGACGCAAGATTATAAAATTGTTAGACTTATTATCAACCTTAGTGTATTGAAGGTCTTAGTTTTTAGTTTAAAGGCTAATTCTTGGAAAATAGTTGATGATAATAATGCATCACCTATTGTACCATATTCATTGTTGAAACATGGTCGCGAATTTGGTGTGCTTATAAACAACCATTTACTTCATTGGAAATTCTACTCTTTTGAGATGAAACGCAATAGAATTGGTTGTTTCGATTTGAAGACCGAAAGTGGTTTAAAGATATACCATTACCGGACTATCGAGGTAATAAAGATGTAATTTTATCATCACCGATGTACCAAGGAAATCGTCATCTCTTGGAAGCACTAAGAGACGATGTAAAGGAGTTAGGCGTCCTTGACGGATGTTTGTGTGTATTGACCAAGATTCCTAGCGTTGTTGATGTTGTTGTTGCGTTGTTGTTGATGTTGATGTTGTTACGGTTGTTGAAAAAAAAACGCAAGGAAGAAGGAAGGAGGAAGGGACGAAGGAGAAGGGTATGGAAAAAAAAATGGAGGAAGGGACGAAGGGCGAGAAGGAGATGGAAAAAGAATGAGGCAGAGAAGAGGGAGGAAAGAGGGGGAGGAGAGAGAAAGAGAAGAGAGAGGCGCGTAGAGGAGAGAGAAAGAGGGCTACGGTAAAATTGGTTTTATAATAGTACGTTCCGACGGAATACTCCATCGGAAACCCCTAATAATCCAATTTTTTTATTTTTTTCCTTTAATTTTTTCCGACGGATTTTTTTCCCTCGGAAATCACAGCTTCCGACGGGAAAAAAATCCGTCGGAAAATTTTCGAGGGATTTTCCGACGGAATTTACGTTTTTCGACGGAATTTAAGTCCGTCGGAACGTTTCCGTCGGAAATTGGCCTATTTCTTGTAGTGAAACTTAGGGCTGCCATCGATTTTTATCGATGGTAAGCCCCAAATTCTTCTTTAATTTAATGTTTTTAGCAAATAAAGATCACCAACAGTATGGTGATTATAGTTAATCCCTCCATGTAAGGTTTAGTATTGTTTGTTTGTTTGTTTTTAGTATGTGCAGGGATGCAAATTTGGAAAATTCGTCTTGCAAATTTGTGGAATTGCGGGTCTGTTGGTATAGGGGTACAAATTTAGAAGATTCGTCTTGTAAATTTGCAGATCTTGATGACCAATCAAATTTTATCACTTTTGTGATTATACATCGATGGAGCTCCGTCAAGAACGATGCAAAGACATCTAAAATTATCCAGGAGCAGTTCAGAAGCGATGCCATTAGTTTAGGGGTGTTTAATTCTTCTATTGAGAATTTAGATCTTTTAAGGGATAATTTTAAGTGCCGAATAACTATTATCATTTAATGAAATCATCCCTCCCTATTCCATTCAAAAAAAAAAAAAAGAGGTTTCTCCAATATTTCATCTTGTTTATTACTGTAATAAGCAATTGAACATCTCCTCAAATTACAAGACTCGACTACGTACATTGGAGAAGTTGAATAACTTAACCCAAGTGAGGATATGGTGGGATAGCCTTTTGCTCATAACCTCTTCCCTCCAACCAAAAAGTTTAGCTTATTATTCGATTGAGCTATATATATGTAGTAATATTAATCATATGGCAATTCAAATAGGTTTGTGTAACTGAATTGGTAAAAAGGATGGTACTAAACTCAATAACATCTGCACTCGCTACACCATTTTAGCCAAGAGCTTGAATTGGTGCATCATTCAAAAATTAAAGTCATAAAATACGACGAGTTAATACGTTCAAATCACGCAAATTAATTTTACAAATATCACATGCTTTATTTACGAGGCAATTAGAGAACGGAGGAAATTGCTAACAATACAAAGATACACTTATTCCCAATAGACGAAACATTCTAATTTAATCATAGAATGTGCGTAGCCACGAGTTTACATGAGGAATTGGAAGTAAATCACACCAAGAGAAATCAAAGAAGTAAATTTAAACCATGATTTGGAATATCCAATCATGCTTTATACAAACATTAATTCAAACATTCATATGATTTGATCAACTGAAACCCTGGCGTATAGTACGTACTATTCTTGTGACACCGGCATTTTTATGTGATTGACGTTTTTAATAAAGATCATATTGTCCGCAAGCAAGAAATGGCAGATAGGTTGGCCAGGCTTGAGGCCGAGGAGCCCGAAAGCAGCATATGAAGGGCTCCAATTGTCGGTGTCATGGTGACACCCAACAAGAGAGGTATCCACCTTAAGATTGTCGTTATCAAGGCTTTGGAGTTCAACGCGATAAGCTCTTGCCCCCTCCATACGGTGGCACATGAATGCTCCGTAGGGGAATGCCGCCTTGTGGCAAGCTATTGTGGGATTTCCAATCTCAACCACCTTCTCTACTTGAGTTATGAGATATCTGTAAACAAGGTAACCAATGATTAAATTACTAATTAACCATGATACATAGTAATTAACCATGAATAACATATAAGTAAAAACATGTTATCTTCGCCTTAAAAAAAATAATATTCATTAAAAATAATTTAAGTTCAATAAAATAAGTTCAGTTCGTAAAAATAAGTTATAACTAATAACAATTACTTCAGTAAAAAATTGTATAAGTTCAGAAAAATAGTTTAAGTTCAGTAAATAACTAGTGAGGAAGAGAAAAAGACTGTGAATTTAAATTTGGCCTCGTTAATTTTAAGCTTAAAAAAGTGGAGCAATGCTTATTACCTTTGGCTAACTTGCATAGGAGGCGTGACCGTTACACCAAGGACTTTAAGATCCATACTAGGATTTGAAGGGTGGAACTCTGAATCAACAAAATCAACCAAATCTTCTAAAGTGGGAGCACAAGTATGGTGACCAAACTTGAGTGGATCTTCACAACGAGTTAAGGTTGATTGCATAAGTTCTGCTTGTTTGGAGCTCGGATTTATCGAGAAAGCTGAAAGTACTTGATCTAAGTTTGTGGAGCTGAATGGTAGTTTTTCAACTTCATCTTTAGTCATAAACGATGGACCCAGGTCGGATGGACCTAAGTATTGTAATTCATGAACTGTCCCTGGTTTTAGTAGGTCATCTTCGCGGATGAAAATGGAGGTAAACATCTTGTTTTTGAGTTGTATCTCGGATGTTTCTTGGTCATAGTTATACCTACGTAATTCAACATGTCAATAGTAGTACTTTACACTTTTCATGTTAAGAAAAGGTTATGAATAGCCATAGTCATAATGAACAATCGCGGGCAAAATGCTAAATTTGAAGATGAAGATAAAACCTTTATTAATTTAGATCAAACATAACATGATCAAGAAGGTGCAAACATTCGTGTTTTATCCTTTTTTTTTAGGAGTCATAAAAGGATTTGTACGTAGTGCAACTGTTATATCGATAAATTAAAAGTCGATCTTTATTAGGCTTTATGAATATGAAAATTCTACAGTAGCATTGAAGTCCAAGTCCGAAAAATAATGCAAATGCGTAAGAGTTAATTAAAATATGTGAATGCATTGAAGTCAAAATGTCAAAGAACATACCAACTGTATAGAGCCATGGTCTTGTCCCTATTGAAGCTTGCTTTGCCCTTTTGGTAATCAAATCCTGTCCATTTAATAAAACACACATTAAATATAAGTCTTTGAATCTAGCTCACGCAATCTAATCTACTCTACTTATGATAAACTATTAATAATTAATTTAAATTATTATATGATTATATAAATTAGTTGCACCTGATGGATTCGGCAGCATATACTTCAAAACCGGTGGCATGGGGACATTAGGAAATTTCATATTCCAGTATGCTTGTGCAGATGGAGCTGTAGTAGCAGTGTCATCCGCAACAACTAGTTGAACCTAAATAACAACATACATACATCGATAATTAAGATCACACATACGACAACACATTCCATAAGCGTTCGAATTGATGAAAACATTTACATTGCATATAAATAAAGAAAACTATGTACATATAAAAATCTATATGTGAACTCTAAAGGATTGCGACGAAAGTTACTCCCAGCCTAGCTAGAGTCCCTACTCTCAAAACATTAGCGTATTATAGTATGAATGTAGTGTAATTTAAACTAGTAGTGCTGCTTTAGTGATGTAATAATTGAATTATTAGCTAGAGTAGAGGTAGTAGTATGCGAGTTATAACATAGAATCATACGGGAGGTGAGTTACCGAGGCAATGAACATGAAAAGAAAGATGCATTGATTCATAGCTGCAATCTCTAAGATAGAGTCTAAGAACTTTAAATTAAATGAGAATAATGCTTATTGAAGAGAAGAGAAGAGAGGAGGTGTAGGATTTATGTGCCGAGGTACCCTCTATTTATAAGGTTTAGGGTTGGTCCATGCATGCATGTTATTGTTGACTTTGGATTTCTGTCACCGTAGGTTCACTTATACATAATTAAAATCATTATTAGATACTTGTATTTATTTTTTAGTGATAATTATTGTAATTAATATATAGTACAATTTAGTACTCCGTTAGTGGCGGATCCACATGCGTTGTGGGCTACTCTATAAAATAACCCATTAAAAAATAAAATACAAAAATGTGATGAAAACAAATAATCAAAATTATAATTTTAAAAACTTTTTTGTTATAAAGGTTAGAAAAAGGAAGAATACTAGGAGATTTTTTTTACGGTGGAAATTCCTAAAGTGAGTAACATTTATTCCCGTCATCATAAAATATAAATATTATGTTAATATTCGTATGTGTATGCCACACCGTGTGGCTAAGGTTACTTATTCAGGGGTTACTTGCTCAGGGGTTATTCAGTCAAGAGTTACTTAGTTAGGGGTTACTCGATCGGTCAGGGGTTACTCGACCATGGATTACTCGGTCAGGGGTCACACAGAAAACACGCTAACCAACCGGGTAATTCCAGAATAAGTAACCCCTAACTGATTAAGTAACCCCGGCCACACAGAAAACACGATGTAAATATTAACATACGAGAAACATGTTTTTCCAGTCAAAAAAAAAAAAAATTAAATGTACATCTTTTTTCCTAAAAAAAAAAGAAATAAAAGACAACTATTATAACAATAGGATAAGCTTTACACTTTTCTTTCATATAATGACAATTGACAACAATAACAAATACTCAATAATAGTGCATTGTACGATGTAATTATGTGAATATAAAATGAGAATAAAAGTACATATTTTGATTTATCAACTCAAATGAAACATTAAGTTGATCGTTAAAGTATATTAGTAGGTAAGTTCCTCCTGAAAATTTTGGTGTAATTCTTCATCTTTGTCTTTTCCCAAAGGACTCAAGGAAGACTCATTATTTAAAATTTTATATTCATTAAAAAAATCTAGATTTAAAATCATCTCTTCAAACCAATAATATGTTTGAAAATTCATATTATTACTTCTCATATAGGCATATTATTATTTTTTATATTACAATACATCATTGATCATTAAATTAACACAATTCGTATTCCAATTATTGATGTAGTGCCAAATTACTTCCCATTTTTAATGTTTCCGTTTGAGGTTTTTTTAACTTAAATACTTGTATTTTTTATGCAAATCAATATTCCCATTTGCAATTGTTAATGACATGTGACTTTTGTATTGCAATCAAAGAAAACGGATTAGTATGCTGAAGCAAGCAATTAACATTAAAAATTCGGGATTAGTTATTAAAATGAATAATGAAGTACTGTATTACGCTAAAGATGGGCAATGTTTGCTGTTGAGCACCCAAAGTGATATATACGTTCTTTTTTTTTTTTAATTTTTTTTTTAGTTTTAGGAAATTAATATACGTACCTTATTTAATTAACGGTGCTTTTTATGAGAGGCTGGCCACACCGTGTGGCCGAGGTTACTCAGTCGGTCAAGGGTAAATATTTAAGAATAATTATTAACAACTCATTTCCGTTTAATTGATCTACCGCCAATTGTAAACTAACAATAAAAAATAAAAAAAATAGTTTAATTTCCATTTTATGGCATCATTAGATTCGAAAGGAACGACAATGAAATAGTATAAATTAGAAGAAATAGTATGAAAATGTGGCGTCTAAGCTCAGAATGAAAGTGATTAATCATACTAATTCATTTGACATTTCATAGTTTATACGTGTGCGGTGGCTTTTGAGATGATGGATGAGTAATTAGAAAGAAGAGACGTAGAAACTAGCATGATAAACTATGAAATATAATTTTCAATTTGAACTATACTTAGCAATTTAAATGCATGATGATTTGTACAGTGTTTAGCAATTAATACGGATGTCCGTGATTCACTATAGTTGTCTGCTCATTTTCGAAGTCAAACATGACGACTGTTAAATATGGGTCTGGGCTATGCCCATCCAGAAGTTGTTAGAGGTAGACTTAGCATTTAGGGTCTCGTCGAATTATAGTTGTCTGCTCATTTTCTCTCAAAATTTTTGTAAATTTGGGATATTTTGTACGTAACTTTTGGCAATAAAAGTTTTGAATTGATTTATTTCTATCTTGCAGCAATAACTTGGCTATTATGCATCATAGTTGAAATTGAAAATGGAGGCTAATTTTTAAAAAAGTTTAATTTTGTTCTTCTAATCATCTGAAAAAACAGTCCATTATTATGATATGGAAATAAATCTTTCTCAGATTGAAATTATTGCACCAGTTATTTGTCACGTTATACTAACGTTTTATTAACAATAATATGCATGTAATGAACTAATAATGATCCCATCATATCTAACAAGCATAATATATTGACAGTACATTAAATTGGTCAAAAGTAGAGTATAGAAACCAATGATAAACAACTAATTACATCTAGATTTTCCCATCCAATCTAGTCTCTCCAAACATGTTCCCCTCGTTAATTGCGCCAGGTAGCAAGGTAGTATGCTTACAATAATTACTCCGTAAGTACATTAACTAATGATGATTAAGAAATCTTATTTTTCCATCCAATCTAGTCTATACTATCCGCCAAGGCGACAAGTATGAGGAGCCGATTCGAGTTGGAGGAGAATGAATGTAATTGAATGATAGATGAACTGATGACGGTCAGCGAAAGTAAGGCGGTAGATTACGAACAATGGACTAGACCTGTTAATTGTTGAAGCTGTTAATAGAAATGTAAAACAAGAAAAATGAATCAAAGAAGTGAACAACATACTCACAAACTGTTATTTATATCTCACACACTAATTCTCAAGTACATATGATTGAATATATAGCTGAAAAAGATAATAATAATATCTTAAAAATAGGATTCATTAAACCCATGATCTATCATGTTCAATAAATCAAGGACCACTAACAAAATCCCACTAACAAACTCTACTAACTGAAAATACGTACTTTGACCCAATTGTAATAAAAGGACAGTTTTGCAATGGCCACGATAATTTTGTAGCCATTGTAATCTTTAAAATTGGACCATTGATATGCAATTTTAAATCATGGCCATTCATTTGTTTGACTACATAATTCTAGTAATAATAAATAAAAATTTATAAAAATGTTAGTTTTAAATCCAAAAAACTAGTTGCATCAAATAGCACTGAGTTAACAAATTAGAGATAATCTTCCCAGTAATCACTCTATTTGTAAATGCAGTTTGTAGGATGTTTAGTTTCAACTTTAGGAATACGTTGCGCAGAATTCATCTTCCCCGGTAACTCAGTAATGTATTAGCCATCTAATTATATAATTCTTAGTTCTAATAAAAAAGATCGAAGTTAGAATTGGAGACTAGTGTAACTGTAAGTGAATCAATAGTTATAGTACCTTATTTGATATTCTTCCATTTTTGTGTTTACGATTTTGTTTTTATATATGACGAAGATGATGATTCAGTTAATAATTTTGGTGGAAAAATTGTAGATCTTAGATACTCTGATTTTATGTTGATTGTTAATAAAACAGCAGGCAAGAGTTAAACTTAAGACTAAACAAAGCATTTACTTTCTTCAATTTGAAGGTTGAAACTTCAATAACAATGGCCATTGTGAATAACAGTTTTTTTTTTTTTTTTTTTTTTTGGTTGTGAAATAATTGAAAAACAGTTTTTTTGTTTATATAAATTTTTAAGTCAATTGGATATATGGATGGACAAGATTGGTCTTAAAAAATAAACGGCCGAGATCAAAAATAATTACAATAGCCACAATTTTTCAGTAGCCACTGAAAAGTCTTCCTATAAGAAAAAGATAATTATTAAAACAACTAATCCTAAATTCCTAACACTTAGCCACTAAGTGTGCCATACATTGACTAACTTAATGGACATGGTCTATATTGGGTAGGACCAATAATTTAATTAGGGCCAATATATTTGCTCAATTTAAAAGGAAAAGAAGATAAACAATGTAAAATAAATTATATGGATATTTTCACAATCATATATATGCAATTTTGGCTTTGCCATCTATTCTTTTTGCTTGATCGTTTATTGGATCGTTCATTATCGATCCGCGATTGAGTTGCAACCTGCATTGGCCTAACTTGATTATGACCCAATAAAATGTGACCCTCTTTTGACTTGACTCGCACCAACCTTGACCTGACACGCTCAGTCCAATAATTAGGTTTATCACGTACTTAATTCAATTTTCAATTAGTTTGATGATTAGCCCACCCTAATTTCATTATTTCTATAAGCTTAGAGCGGGTATGCCACATAAAAAAATTGATGTAGACGGACTTTAATCATAATTTATTTTATGGCCCTTGAAATGATATGGAGGCGAAGTTGCGACATTATAGGCTTTTTTTTTTTTTTGAACAATCATAGGCGTATAGCTAGTGCTACATATTTATAATTTGATTTTATATATCAAGTGGATGCCATCTAGCTAGTTGGTTAAGCTCCTAGGGTGATACCCTTATATTGGGGTGCCGACGCGAACTCCTTAGATTAAATCCCCTCTACATCAAATGTCATTAGAGTTGATCAAATTAAAAGATATTATGTACTGTCAAGTTGAAAAGTGTTCTGTCAAAAAAAAAGTTGAAAAGTGACTCTATAATTATATAATAAATACCTCATTAATAGAAAAAAATAAAATAAAAAAATACGGATCGAGTAATCCCTATAATACTAATGATTTAACCCTTGTATACTACACCAAAAATTTGTGTTTAGTTTGTGTGTAGATCTTTTTTTTTTTTTTGGAAACAAACCCTAGCGAGGAACTAAACTTTATTCATGGAAGAATCATTCAAAAGAGAAGTAATACACGACGGAAAATTCAACTCCCAAAATAAAATCCTACTCGAATTTGATATTTTTTTATTTATTTATTTTATTTTATTTTTGAAAGAAACTCGAATTTGATAAT